GCCAAAGCAAGGTTATACGCATTTACTAATAATAAAGGAAGAACTCTGAGCAAAGTTACAGCTGAGCACTGAAAAGCCACAGGATTTAGAAACTATATGAGTCCATGAGTCTATTCAAACCATGATTGCGAAAACAAATAACTGGTTAACTAATACCATACCCAACATGGACTGGTAAATGGACAAGAGGCCGTGGATTCGCTATATCAATATGCCGCCCTATCGACTTTCGAAAGAAAATGCTGTGGTGGGGCATTAACAGCATATATAATTTGACACCAACAATAATGCCGTCTTATATCTTTCATTGATACTCCAGGGTTGGTCAAACATAAATTGTACGAAGTATGATAGACTTTAAATATGTATACTCTTGAGCCATTGTTTATTTATTTAATTTAATGTTGCTGAGAAATATCAGTTTTGTCATTGTGTGATCTGACATTGATTAAGACTTGAATTCCTGAAAACATTGATTTCCTCTTTACTGTAGCACCAGTATGGTTTATCTTAACAACATGTTCTCTTGATAAGATTGATTGTGCACTCGCCCTGTTATATCAATGACTTATAACGAGCCTTGCATATTTAAGCATATGTGGGCGGGGGTGTCCTAAGCATATTGAATACATTAAAAATTATTCATATTGGATCTAGTAAGTCACTGATTTTAGGAATAATTCAAAGTATTCTTATCCAAAATTTTGCAATTTCAAGCAATTAAAATAAGGCAGTCGGACTGATAATTGACATTCAACTCAAAATAACTGTAGAAAATACACAAACTATAAAACAATGTTCATATTTCTGCATTATCAACGTCCATTTCATTGAATATATATTAGTTTGCGCAAGTTCTTTGTTGAATGGTTCAATTTAGAATATATTTAATATCTGAAAATATCAGAATGTATAAAATGGTTTCGGCCTTTCACGAACATATAAAAAACTTTTTGAGGTTTTAAGCTTTACCCAGAGTAGGTGGAGAAAATTAGAATTACTAGGATATCATTTGCAAGCCACTTATATATATATAAAAGCTTGCTCAAAACAATTTTTGGTTTTTACCGTTATTAAATAAACAAATCAGTGACATGCATGAAACATGTAAGACACCAGCTTGAGTGATATTTGACAAATATGAATGAATATTTGACAATATAAGCATTGGTACTAGGATAGAATTCTTCTGGCCATTCATGCTCCACTGACCACAGTAAACAAATTTGAATGATTTTTTTGTTCACTTGTTGCCGATAATTTGGCTGGAAAGTGTGGCGGCTGAATTTGATGCCCTTCCGCCGTATCGCCGTTTCATTGTCTATACCAAGATGTGCTTTTTAGTAGTCAGAACAGCGAATCAGAGCTTATGAATCCACAAACAAAATTTATTTTAGGTTGATTTGACAACTAGCAACTAGACCAAATCAATCTTATTTTGACCTACGATTTTGTTGAGGAAAATTTGTTTAAGGCAGAGTCACGTGCATAGAAGACAGATATCTAAGCAACCAAGGGAATGCTATATAATTGAAATCAGAAAAAATGGGGCCAATAATGCCTATGGAAATTTGCTATTTTTTCACAATTTGTCGTCATTTTTTCATCAACTAGGTCAAAAATTAAAATTCCAAGATAGCTACTCTTATGCGTGAATGCCAATAAGACATGCAGCACTCGAAATTAAATGGCATTTTGAGAATTACAGAGGCTGGTACTGCTATCATTTCTTACACAACGACGACCTGTTTCTAAGATATAAAAAGCTGCTATTCATGGTAGGACCGGAATCTCTCCAGTTAAGCATTTTTTTTACCTAGTTTATTTGAGAAGTACAACACTCTAATCACCGCTATATATAAACACATCCCCAGCAAGGGTTAAAAGTTTACAAATAATTGATACAAATTCAATAAAATGAATTTCTTGTATGTTTGTAACAGTAAATATGCTTAAAGCTATATCACACAGACTTACTCAAAGGTAAATGAAGTGATCTCTAAGAAAATTTATAGGCAACCACTGACGTGCCAAAGAAATATAGCAGGGAATTACTTGTTAGTGAATACCGATAGATCAGATTCTTAAAGAAGCTCACGAAATTATATATCTATTAGGAGCTGATGAAATCTGCATCACTGGATTCCCTAAAAAAACTTGAGAGTGAGAGAAACATTTTTTGTCTAGTGGGTGTACTAACAGTAAATAAGGAGACTCGATTGATTGAGTCAATTTGTGTCACATTTCTTGGGCCCATATTTTTCCCAAGTCAAGTCGATTTGATTTACAATGATTGAAATACGAAGTCCAAGTTGTGCCCCCAGAATTCAAAATCTGTGAGCAATTTCATTTTAAACAAGATTTGTGCTTTATTCGAAAATTTATAAGCTTACCCAAAATTAAATATAAATAAAATTTGATTCAATTTTCAATATTTGATTTTTTTTCTACTAATAGTCAGTCCGCAAAAACCGTCATTTTTAGATATACAGACTGACTTCGGTTGAGTGTTGGTAAATTGATTACTGCAAAAAGCGAAATGGCAATTTTTATATTAAACAGCGCTTATGCGTGTCTTTCTCTCAAAACAAGACCCTATACAATCATCGACTGAAATATAATGATATAATTTCTTTTTTAACAAACCGCGAACTACTTCTTTATTACACACTAAGTAAGATGGTGGGCTTGGGATTTGGACCAATGATTAAAAACCTGTAACTAGGCAAATGTACCCACAGAATTATTGACAAAGACAAAGACAGTTCCCGAACTCGTAATAGAACTAAAATAAGGAAAATCGGAATAAAAGTATGGCCTAACATGGTACACATACTGCGGAAGTACCGATTAATCTGTCTGTAGGCTTTTCTTTTACTCGGGTATGATATAAGCCAGGGTGGTCCAAACCCAGGCTCGCGGGCCACATGTGGCCCGCCGCTTCATTATCCCGCGTCACATTTGGAGAGTAATCGATAAATCGCATTCCGTGTTGTTTCGTAATCAAATTTATCAGAAAAATCTTTTGACATTTCGTTACATCACTAATGTCACTGAATTGACTAGTGTTATGGCTGGCTGAGGCAAATAGCGAAGTTGAATGATGTACTTGGCAGTCTAAATTATTATCTGGCTTTCTATCTTTTTGGTCGGAAATATATGCTAACAATAAAGGCATCATAGAAAACTAAAAATCGAATGCGGATTTTATTAGCCTGAGATGGCTGTGTCTGATAACTATGTGTTTGCACAATAAAAATGTTCATTTTGTATTGCACTGTTTACGTATTCTTGGCACTATTGTGGCCGCGAACAATAAAATAATAAATTTATGGCCCGCGGAGCCGACAACAGACCACCTTGATATAAGCTGTCTTTATTACTTTATTTATTCTCGATAAATAAGGAAATTCTATCCTGTTCCAGGGTTCCGAGCCATCGATTCGAACAAACTTGAGTGTGGGTCACTGGAGTGTCAACTTTTTTTCAATACACAAGACTTCAACCAGTTCTGTCTTTGTGATTAAATTACTGACAACCTAGCTATAGTTTTTCTATATCACTGAGAAATTATTACCTGCATATTTATTAGATAGTAAACACACAATTGCATTTAAATATCCAGAACATCAGGGTGATTTAAATTCAAAGTATATAATATAGAAGTTATAAATCAAAGATCTATAAAATCAGCATTTTTGAAGAAAATCAAAATTTTAAATATGACAAAAACAATGATTTAGCAGATTCTTATTTTAGAATATATAGGCACAAAAGTTGAATAAGCCAGGTATTCCACCTATTGGTTAGCGGAGCTGAAGTCACATTCTGCAAAGCCAGAGTTTCACATGCTTTTATTAAAGTTGAATTTTGAATTCTACAAGGTCATATTTCAATCTTTCAAAAAGCAAAATTTCCACTGAGAAGTATTTCAGTTTTTATTGAAAATAATCTAAGTCTAAATTTCAGAGAAACCATAAGACCATCCATTTGATTAAAGCAGTTTCACTCCAACAGAACTATAATTCTGAACATTCAAATTATGAAATATATATATAGGCACAACAATTAAAACAAAATATAAAATGGTCAGGTATTTGAGTCATCTGGTGCAGAATGACATGACTTACAATGAGTAAATTATGTAGATAATAAAAAAATATCCACATTCAAACTCAAAAGTGGCATCAAAAGCCTTGTCAATTTCAGATTGAATTACAAAAGTAGTTTATTTGAATACAATTTTTTTGCAGCATTGAATTTCATAAAATATTTTCAATTTTTTTAAATAATTAATATCAACTTTATTATGTTGCAAATGAAAAAAGTGAAAGCAAATGGATAATATGAAGCAAAAAGCATAACATGGTTGCCGTAATGGATGGATGGAAAATATTAACTAAAGTAGTCTGTCGTTGATAGAAAATCACTTGAATCAAACTGACAAATAAACGCATTATTTATATAAAAAAATGCTGTTGAAAAAAAAAAAAAATTACGTAATATTTACCTGCTAAGCTGTGGTAATCGCATACAAGCAAAGAAAAAATATGATGCGACAGAGAATTAAAAAATGGAAAAGCAAAAAAAAAAAATATGTATCAGAACTTTCAGTGTTAGCTAATGACGAGGTGACAGCAAAAACGCGAAGAAACAAAATTATAGAAAAATATACGATAAACAGGCAGGGGGGTATCATTGGCCACGTTTTGGACGACACCAAAATATAGTCGCATATTTCTGCTGCTGGACTTTTTATAGTCCAACGAGCGACTACGTTTGCCACGTGATTAGCTAACATTAATTTGGCGGAAAAAATTCGAAAAAAGATACTGTTGATATTTTGATATTGTCTTTTATTTAGTCAGCAATATTGTGACATGGAGGCAGGTCAAAATGACAAAATTTCTTAAAAAGGTAAGAGCAATTTCCAATACAATACTTTATTCTTCATACTGTTAAGCTATATAACCTTCAAAACATATCCATCCGATATGATTTCATTTATTTTTTAAATCTTCTTCTGGCTTGTCTGACCCGTCCACTTCTCGGGGTGACAGGGGAAGGTGCGGAATTGAATGGATTTGCGTTTGGCGTACTTTTGTTGAAAGCGATCTGGTCAAGCTCGGAGCAAGTATTGGTTTAATTTTGACTTCTTGACCTGATTCGAAAAGGTTGGATATCACTGCTGTAAGTAAACAATTCAAAAAAGATACAATGTCCAAACCAAACGTAGTTTCGATCAGATCAAAAAACCTCGGACTTTTTCTTTTGTCTTTTATTCATTCAGCATTATTGTGACATGGAGGCAGATCAAAATGACCCCCTTTTTTTCAAATGGTAAAAGCAATTTCCAATACAAGCATTATTCTTCGTACTGTTATGCTATATCACTTTCAAAACACATTCACCCGTTATGATTTCATTTACATTTTTTAAGTCTTCTTCTGGCTTGTCTGACCCGTCTAAGCCCCGAGGTAGCAGAGGGAGTTGCGGAATTGAATGGGTTTGCGTTTGGCGTACTTCCGATGAAAGCGTTCTGAGATGTAGCCGGTTGAGAATCACTGAAATAAAAGAGAGTAGAATTTAAAATTTACTCTTGTTGTTCAGAGTGAGAAGAACCACTGGAAGAGGTGAATAATAAAATTCATTCTTGTTAGTACGAAATGCTGAATGAGAAGACCTCCGTTATTCCAAAATATAGTAGACCTATACATTGACATGGGTAAAATTCGACTCGCTGGGCAATTCAATCTGGCCCGCCTAATGATGGGACAACCAAACGAAAACCGAATTTTGATGCTTTAGCTCAAGGAATTTGTTGAAATTACGATTAAATTCAGTTCTGGCAATAGGCTTATTGTTTTTTCCTTTTACTTTTGTAACACTGTAAATATTGTTCATATTTTATGTCACACTTGCATGGCCCGCCAGTTCTAGTGGGCAAAATTGTTGGCCCCTGGTTTAAAAACCGTGCCCACCCATGCCCATACATATCAGTGATTGTTTATGTAAAGCCCAGTTTGAATCAAATGATGCATATAGGAAAATGTCCTATTAAACAGTAGTGGATGCTTATTTCGAGTAAAAGGCAAATAAAAATAATTACATAAAGAAACTCTTTAACTTACGAAAAACTGCAAGACGTGGCTGCAGAACCTCCAAAAGTAAATCCAGTTGATTGTTGCTGTTGTGTGTTTTTGCTTGGTGGATTATTTCCACCAAAACCAAACAATCCTGATTTGTTTTCAGCAAGTTGTTCTGATTTCGACTGGTTAGATCCGGTTCCAAACTGTAACATGCCATTGCTTTGATTGGATGAAGAGTTGACAAACTGAAATCCTGCTGCTGGGGCAGCCGGGGCTGGTTATTTTTGAAAGAAAATGGTAGTTTTTAGAGTTAGATCTGATAATCTTATGATCATACTAGGGTTAGTGTTAGGACTCCCTGAACCAGGAATGTTAACACCTCGATGTTAGATGTAAAGTCGATTACACTTAATTCACCTGACTACAGTAAAAGCCCACAACAATGCTAATTTTTAATAATAGCTAACAAACAGACAGTCTCTCTTCAGTGAGAACATAGCACCGTCTGTTATACAAAAGAGGACGTTATAACCCAAACGATGTTACAAATTTGATATTCAGTCAATAACCATGTTCATTGCGCCCTCATCAAGCTTGGCATCGGAGCAAGTATTGATTTAAATTTGACCTCTTGACCTGATTTGCGTTCGAGTTCTCGAACAAATTAAGACACATCAGCTTGTTGAGATTTCCAGCGTTTGATGTAGGTTTGCCCACAGCCTTGTTTAGAGTGGAGGTGGGAAAATTCTAACAATATTAAATACCGTTGATTTTCATACATATCTAGCCTAAACAGTTACAAGACATTAAATCCAGATCTACCCACTGGCATTAAAAGCTGGTGGAGGTTTATTAGGCGTTCCTCCAAACACAGGGCCGCACTGCTCTCACAAAAATTGAAGCCACTCTGTTGCGCAGGTGCAGCGTTCTGTTCGTTGTTCCCTCCGAATTGAAATCCACCAAAAGCTGAAGTAGAAGGAAAAATATTTAGGAAGAGAAGATTTGCTGAACTTGGTCTGTGAAATTGTCAAGTTTGAAAAAACAAGACTTGGCTAAATTTCGATGTATGTACGAAAGTTCACAACTTCGGAAAGGTTGGAAATCACTGCTATAAAAAGGGCTGTTTAGTCGTGAGTTTGCCTACTTCTCATCGATACTGGGGTACAAGTTATATTTTTAAACCTCAAGTCAAGAGGCACTCACATATGCCAAAGTTTTTGTTGACAAATCTCGATTTTCTTGGAGTTGGGAGTTGTGTCAATACTTCTTTCAACCTAAAGTTGGAAGCTCAGGCCAAATTATTCTGTCAATGTCAGCCATGAATAGCTCAAAGATTGGAGAGAGGTTCAAAAACAAAGATATATTGACGAACATAACAAAATGAGCTGAAAATTGAACTACCTGGGTTTTTTTGTTGAGAAGGCTCATTATTTGAAGGTGCACCAAAAGCAAACGAAGGTTTTGGAATTCCAGAAATTGCGTTGTTCGTCGGTTGAGACCGAAACGGAGGTGGAGGATTGCGGTTGGAGCCAAACAGTCCAGTAGATTCTGTAGAACAAGATTGTCTAAATGGAGACGACTGTACTGACGCCGAATTAGATCCTACGAATGGCTGAGAATTACTCGTTGCTGTAACCGCCCCAAACGGGATGCTTCCAAAAAACCCACCTACAAAAAAAACAGACAGACACTATAAAAAACTATCATTTACTTTACTCTAAATGAGCGTTTTCGAAACTGAGTTCCACATTTGCATTTGGCAACTCGTCACCTATTTGGGAATCGATGCACTACACCATATATTTTTATCAATCTTACCCTTTTATTTTTTGTTTTTTTGGTGTACCGCGAGGCGAGATAAAAATCGTAAGTGTTCCGTGGCCGAAATAGCTTGGGAAACGCTGCCCTACATCGCAATGTAACTACCAAATACCTGATGGTAACGAAACTCCAGGAGCAGAAGATCCAAAACTGAAATCCTTAAATGCAGATTTTAAAGGTTTAAACGCTGGTGCGTTGGTTCGTTGGTAGGCGGCACCAAACCCAGAAAAGGGTTGGCGTGCCAACATCATAATCGGACCGCAAACTAGACCACTGATTTATTTGGAAATTCGGAGCATTTATGCCAGTCGTTGTTGATGCCACAATATGTGGGACAAGTTTACCAGCCTGAGCTTTGGCTTGGAGAATATCAAGCAATATATCTTTACACTTATGCGACTCTTTAACCAAAGGTTCATTTCTGACTGTTTGCCGAATAAAATCCTCAGAAATATCCTGAAGTTTTATCAATTCAAACAAGTCTGGAAAAACTTTCTGATGACGACGACTTTGTTTGGTCCATTTTAGTGCAGCTTCCCATTTAATTTTCTCTGAAGAATATTTCGTTTCCCGAGATTTGAACAAGAAAAAAATTTCATCTTTTTCCAACTTAATAAATTCATCCATCGGTACAAGTTGTTCAAAATTCTGAGCCATGAATTCTTTCATTATTTTTCTGACATTCTCTGAGCAAACGTTGTTTTCGATCCGATTAATCTTCCTCAAAATGAATAAATTGTCGAGAGACAAATTCTCTTTCAACCCATCAATATTCGAAAGTAATTTTTGGATGACAAAACTTTTTGCATCTGAAGAACTTTCTACCAAAGAATCATTTAACAAATCAGTGAGCAAAAACTTATAGGGAAACTCTCCAAAATGCAATGTCGCCATTAATTCTGATCCAAATTTTCACCTTTGTTTGAAATCCATCTTCTCACAGCATGCCAAACTACTTCATGCCTTTTATCCAACTTTTGCAGATAAAATATGAGTTCTTCCTTGCTCAGATGTAGAAAATGTTCACCCAAAATTAGAGACTCAAAATTATCCACAATAAATCGCTCAGCAATGGTTTGTAGCTCTGTACGATCGTGAAGTTTTGCCAATCTGACCACTAGCAGGCAATGCTGCACTGACAGATTGTTTTCCATGAAATTGAAGCATATACCTGATAATACATCAAGCTGCATGTACTGAGAAGCATACAAAGTATTTTCAACAGATTCCATAGTAGGATTTGCTTCACCAGTATACATGAAATCTACACACTGCCCTACAGCATCAGCACAGATGTCTTTCATAAAGACAAAACCATTCCGAGCCTCAACCATGTTACTTGAAAACATGCCTTTGAAGTACTTTGATACTGCGGCAAGCAGGTCTCGATGAACTTTGAAAGATTTGTCACCAACTTTGATCGTGAAGTTACAAATGCATTCAGATTGTTTCAATTCATTGAATGATGTGAGTACATTTAATGAGTGGGTAATCTTTGCAGATTTTTTAAATTCATCCATTTTCTGTATCTTTGAAGAGATTCACAAAAAACAATGCTTCAATAATAAGTGTAGACTGTAGATGACAGCAAGATGCTTACCTAACTAGATTCTGTGATATTTGTATATTACGTAAATATTTGAAGTATTGGAGAATTTTAATTTTGCAACAAAAGATAGAGAAGGAGAGATTGGCTTGACTTTCCTGTCAGTCATACCAATGTTTGGTTGTAAATTATGCGCACTCACTCAGTAGTAGAATAATGACTGTAGGAACTGGTGACTCAAACGCCAATAGCTACAGAAACTATTTAGAAATTTCAAAGTGCATTACGCGCATTGTAGGAGACGGAATACCGTGCAACGTTACGTCTGACCACTAAAATGCCAAGAGCAACTGATTTTATTCTGAATTATGGTGGTGAGTTATGAGCCCTTGTCCATGTTTAAGTGAAATTCTAAAGGGCTAGCTGAAGATACCATTTAGAATTAATGCAGCACATTACAAGCCCTCGGCCCTCGCTCGGAAGTAAAAAAGTTCCATCTCAGATCAGAGTTACCACTGAAATGTCAAGAGCTACAATAACTATAAATACGATAATGCAGTATGCACACTGAGTTAGTAGTAAATGGAACTCACCTCTGAGTAGGCGAACAAAATTAATTACGGTACCTCCATATTGGTACACATACTTCTGGATCGCAGCCTAGTCTACAGTAACTGATGGATCATGCCCTTCATTATTCCTAACTGTTTAGTCCACGCTGTTCCTGATAAATGTATATTCACCCCAATAGGATTTAGACCACTGTTTCTCAACCTGTGGCGTGGGCGATACCCCACTGCGGGGTCACAGAAACATGCTAGGTGGGCCCAGCCCTATTAAAAATTGATAAGTTTATTGAACAATTTAGTTTCATTTGTGTTACTATAGTTAAATTTTGATTGTAGTGGCAATGAATGTTGATGCTGTTTATTGTCACTGAGTCTTAATTTTTATTTTATTTATTAAACTTTAAAATGGTCTGTTTTTGCGCAAAGATTTTTTTTCATATTTTTTGTAGTTTTTCTTTCCCTAGCAAGAGAAATTAGTAAGTCACAGAATTCTTGTGCCACGAATAGAAAAAAAAGGTTGAGATCTACCTTCAATATTGGAGCATGCCCTTCAGTCCTGAGTCCTGACATCTTATTGATAATTTTAAAAAATGTCATTCATACCAATATATTTGAACAAACCTATACAAGCTAAGCATTATCAATCATTCCATTCAGAACATTGTTTGGGTTCATACTCGAGAACGAACATGTGATTGACTGTTTGCATCATCAAAAATTGCCATTATTTAAAATCAATCATAAATTGGGTCTCGTGTGGTTTCTTACTACAATAACTTCTAATGGGCGTGACGTAACAATTTTTGCATATATCATTCCTGACCTTACCTGACTACTTCATCGAAAAATTACGTCACTGCACCGTCACCATCACGAAATAGAGCTTGCCAAAGTAAAATTGTTTAACATGTCAATTTAGGAAACAAATAACTAAATAAATTTTAAACTAGAATTCTATAATATCAACCAACAAATGAATATTCATAACACTGATCCTAATTTTCTAAATTCAAAACTATTCACAAGAGCTAAGATACAAGGACACAAGCCTGTGTATCTGGAATATTAAACTGAATAATATATTGTAATTCAGAATGAAGAACTTCCGACCTGGACTATAAACCGGATTAAAAGAGATTACGAGATTAAACAGTTTTATCGGCTTATCCTCCCATTGCTAAATATCTAAAACCTCGTCCCTCGTCTGTCAATACGGCGGCTATTCTTATCGACAAAACGTCTGAACATAAAGAACCTCAATTGCGAAATCGATTTATTTACTTTGTCAGTCTGGGACAAAGGTGAACTTAATGGAAAAGTACTGGCGACGGGGTGTGTAGGGGGCTGTGGTCCGAATAAACAACATCTTTGTTATTTAAACGGAATTTATACTTGATTGCGGGGCAGTGAACGATACATAATGTTGCGTAATTTAAATTAATTTACAATTACAGACTTCAATGGTGACACAGAGTGATCTTTTTTTCCATTACACCTAATTTACAAAATTTCACCTGAACTTTTTTAATAAATTTCAATTTGGCGTATAAACAATTTTTGTAACAGATCAGCTAAAAGTTTAATTTCGCTAAAATTAGGCTAAAATATTTAAACAGGGTTAATATATGTCCGTGATTGTTACTTATTTGTTTGTATTCCCACTGCTCCTGCTTGCATAACACAGCAGGCGTATATTTTAACAATGCTCACAAGCTTAAAGCCCGATTAGTGAGTGTTTATACATAGTGTATTTCATTTATATTTGTATATTATCGCAATGATCACAAACTTAAAACCTGATTCTTGAGTATCCGATCGTGATTTTGTATATATTAAATATCACAAGGTGAAATTTCTCTTGAAGTACTTTTATGTCTGGTGTTTTTAAACCAAATGGAAGTTTTGCTCAATTTCCATAAGTTTCAGTCCTGTGTGTCGTCGTTTTTGTACCATTGCGGACTTGAAACTAAATTATCATCTATCTCTCTAATCTATTTGATATACAAAATGTCACATATAATAAATCATTTAAATCGTCAGATATCAGTCGCTTCTTTTACACGGCCTTGTTCAGAGCGAAAGACGCGATATGGTCTGATTCTTTTCGATAACTATTTGACAAATTAGCGATTTCAAATAAGTCGCACACGTCGGCAATTTTCCGCGTGCTGGTTATTTTGAATTTATGGCAGGGATGCAAGGTTCCTTCTAAGGTGCGCAACTGCGTCATTGCGTAGTGCCGCCAGACCATTCACGCAGTAGAATATCATTCTCATGCACTTGCAACATTACGTTTTTTCATAGCGTGGCTCCGACTCATGCCTGTTCCATATTTCTCGTGTAATTTTCCTGCCACTGTTCATTGTGATGTCACACACGCGTCTGTTACCTCTAAGTATCTTGATTTCTTTAGAATCATTTGGAACAGACTATTTTTAGCCGATTCTACAATACCAGCGCTGGCCGGTGTCGCCTTTCGAGAAGCTATTTGAGTTGAATGTATATAATATTGTAATATCTCACATAGCTTGTAAATTATTTATCACTCTGCTCAGCCTTAACATTATCATGCGCAGTAAAACAAGCTTTTGCTCAGTGTAACATTTTCCTAGAGGGAACACTGCAGGGATGCGCAACCTGGGCGCGAAAAATGCAGCCACAGGAAAAAATTGTGTCGCCCGAGGAGGAATGCCAAATGTGAATGATGTGCGCTTCAATCGAGCATTGATACCCACAATAATTACTTCTTTTAGATTTATCCTTGGGTCCTTAGGTATACGGCTTGATCGTGTAGCGATCCACGCTAGTTAGCAATTAACTTCGTTTCGGATACACACACATAAGATATAGCACTAGGTCACTAGGATTTACCAGCATTTTTGCGAGATGTTTTTTATAAATAAAACTTACTAGATTTTCAAATATACAAAATATGAAAACCAATATCCATTTACTTATAAATAACATTTTTTTGTAAAAACTGCTAAACATAGATTATTCAAAAATGACCATATCATTATCCTCCTCAACGCTCAATCCACTACCCCATTTGAAACGGCAATTGCCACATTGGTTTCGTACAAATACATTTTAAATGAATTTTTTTAATGAAAGTCAGTGAATAAAATTGCAAAGAATAGATCGTAGAACTTGTAAAGGTAAATATGACATAATGAGGCGAGATGATTGCAATAAAAGCAAGTAGCAGTATCGTATACATGCTAAGCTAATATATTTATCTATACATATGAAACTGAGGTGTCAAGTCGTATTTCCAAACTTCACAGAGTCAGAATTTCATATTCTAACGATGAAAATCGTGTATTAAAGGTTGCACACCCCTGCTTTAGGGTATGCAGTTGGGTTCGTGGATCGGAGGACATGTTGAGACATCGTGATTGTGAAGCTGTATGTCCCGGTGTTGGTGTATAATGGTAGTGTGGCCTCGTGTCATTGGCTGAGAAAATACTTGTCCTGGGAGAACAATTACAAATTTCTGTGCAACAGGAATTCTGCATAACTCGATAACATCATATATTGACCATTTGCAAGTCGAGAATATGTAATCTGAGAAATATAACTTCAACGGTTCAAGTTTATTCAAAAATGATATGTGTACTGTCTTTGGCTTCACATGGGTTGAGGAAGTTTATTTTTGTGAGCATGTACCTAACTGGTGAGTGGGTTGAAATTCGTTGAAGATTGTGCACGTGTTTGTTCATATTATAAGCTTACATGTCCAGAATCAGGGTTTTGAGACATCGTTTCAAACAAATTTGAGTGTGGGAGACTGAATTGTCAATTCTTCTTCAATACACAAGACTTCAACCAGTTCTGTCTTTGTAGACAGATTACTGGCAACTCAGTTATAGTTTTATTCTATATCACTGAAAAAATAATAATTATATTTACATTCGATAACAAATTCACACAATCAAATTAGTTGTTCTGCCACCAAAATAAATAAAAAGCTACTTAGTGATAAAAATACATTTTTGAAGTGCAAAGAATAGAAATTCAATCTTAAAGTGTTTTTGAGTATTCCGAGAAATGATAATATAAAAATTTATTTCAAAGTATCAAGTGCAGAGATCAAAATGAATGGGGAAGAAAATCAGAATATCCAGGAGTATGCACAACTTGCTATTTCAGTATACAGTGTAAAATAAAAGCTATAAAATACAGGGTTTTAAAAAAGTAACGCATAATTAACAGAAGTTAAGATGGAATGCTACTTAAAACATTTGACGATTAACACTTTTTATGACATTTATTTATTTCACGACTGACGCTTTTTAACGTTGCCATCACAAAAAATTATACCTTAATTTTGCGTAATTTTTTTTATCACCCTGTATGTGAAGATAGCTACAAAAACAGTTCAATCAAACTTGGGGGATTTTTACGAAGGGTAAATATTTGGTTAAGAAAATGCACAGTTTGCCCTAACAGTGTCCAATAAAAACAAATCAGAAAAAAAGAAAACATCAATTATATAACAGCTAAATATAGGAAAAACTGAAATTAGCATTTAAAAAAGTAACTCACAAAAGCATCCTCCAACAGGTGCTTATTTTTAGCCTGAGGAAAACTTTTCATCGTTCTTTCTCACAAAATACAGAATTGGATGAACTATGACATCAAAAATAGGGCAAAGGCATATGGAGATAACATGAAACTGAACAGTATAATAAACGAAATATAAATATTATTAAAATATTCCACGAAAACCATATTTAGTATTCCATATTAGTAGCCAAATATATCCAATGCAAACTTAATAAGAAAGAAAAAACCAACATCTTGTTCAGGACGAATTTGTTACAGTCATATCAATGCCAATGACCTAATGACATGATATGTTCCTAGAAGTTCATTTATTCAGTCGATGCATTCCATCATGCGCTTACTGAACTGGGGATTAATAAGTAGAGCTGGAACACAGTAGTACTTTTTGTCAAGTAGGACTTTGACAATTTAAAACTCAGTTGACTGTTGACACATGACATTAGGAGATTCTTTCAAATCACATTTGCACTTTTAATAGCAATTAAATTGATTGATAGTAAGTGAGCCAAGTCGCAAATATGTCTGATACTGAAGTTTTTTGGGAATTGTAAATAAGGAAAACTTTGTATCCACAATTTATAGTAAATGGAGATTGAGGAAGTCAATGGGAATCTAAATATTTGTAGCAATTTAAAACATCAAATATAGAAAGATGGAATGGGAAATAAAAGTGAATGATACAACTAGTATTGTCAGACATCTATCTGGGAAGGTTCATTGAACTTGAATATACACCAATGCCCTAATACAAATGTTAATGTAGTGATTATTTTCAACTTTTACTAATGATTTCACATCTATCGAAAAAAGCTACAGCAATGAACCCACTCAACCTCGGGCCAATTCATTTCACAGACTATTTCCCATTCACCAGTTTCTTCATTGAATGTTTCAATAGAATCCTTAGTCAGGCCTTCACCTTTAGCACCACCGACTGCATACATTTTATTATCCACAACACAGGCACTAAAACATTCTCTCTTCATCTTCATTTTTGTAATTTCCGTCCATGAGCCAACAACAGGATTATAACATTGAACATTGTTATGATGGCTCAGTCCCACCCAACTTCCCAGTACATAGACCATACTTTTAAAAACAACTGCTGCACTACAATATGTTTCATGAATCATCTCTGGTAGGGAAGACCATTTCTTTGTTCCAGGATCGTATACTTTTGCTTCACTCCATGTTGACAAACTCCCTATCGCATATATAAACCCATCAGAGGCAGCAGCACAAAACCCATAATCAAGAGGACATGAAGGCAAATTCTTATCCCATCTGTCTTTGGCAATGTCATATCGCACTGTACGCTGAGCATAATTGATAATATAAATCCCACCCTTGAGATAAATCATCTTATCTGATGCATCACTCTTCCTCTCAATTTTGTTCTTCTTAATCCATCGACCATCTTGTAGCAAAGACAATTCATTCCCATCTGAAGCATACAATCGTCCCTCAACATTGACAAGATAAATGCCAACATTATAATCCGACTGCAAATTAGACCATTGATTTGTTTGGAGATTCAGAGCCTTTATGCCAGTCTTTGTTGAAACAGCAATATGTGGTACAAGTTTTCTCTCCTGAGCGCAAAGTATATCAAGCAATAAATCTTTGCACTTATGCGACTCTTTAACTAACGGTTCATTTCTGACTGTTTTTCGAATAAAATCCTCAGAAATATCCTGAAGTTTTATCAGCTCGAACAAATCAGGAAAATATTTCTGATGACGACGACTTTGTTTGGTCCATTTCAGTGCAGCTTCCCATTTGATTTTCTCCGAAGAATATTTCGTTTCCCTAGATTTGAACAGAAAAAAAATTTCATCTTTTTCCAACTCGATAAATTCATTCATCGGTACAAGCTGTTCAAAATTTTGAGCCACGAATTCTTTCAATATTTTTCTAACACTCTCTGAGCAAACCTTGTTTTCGATCCGATTAATCTTTCTCAAAATAAATAAATTGTCCAGAGACAAATTTTCTTTCAACCCATCAATGTTCGAAAGCAATATTTTGATGATAAAACTTTTTGCATCTGGAGAACGTTCTACCAAAGGATCGTTTAGCAGATTGGTAAGCAAAAAGTTATAAGAAAATTCTTCAAAATGCAAAGTCTCCATTAATTCTGATCCAATGTTTTCACTGTTGTTTGAAATCCATTTTCTTACAGAATTCCAAACTACTTCATGCTTTTTATCCAACTTTTGCAGATAAAATACGAGTTCTTCTTTGCTCAGATGTAGAAATTCTTCACCCAAAATCAGAGACTGAAAATTATCCACAATGAATTGCTCAGCAATGGTTTGTAACTCAGTATGGTCATAAAATCTTGCCAACCTGACCGCTAGAAGACAATGCTGCACTGACAGATTAGTTTCCATGAAATTGAAGCATATACCTGATAATACATCAAGCTGCATTAAGTGAGAAGCATACAAAGTATTCTCAACAGATTCCATGGATGGATTTGCTTCACCAGTATACATGAAATCTACACACTGCCCTACAGCATCAGCACAGATGTCTTTCATAATGACAAAACCATTCCGAGCCTCAACCATGTTACTTGAAAACATGCCTTTGAAGTACTTTGATACTGCACCAAGCAGGTCTCGATGGACTTTGAAAGATTTGTCACCAACTTTGATTGTGAAGTTACAAATGCAGTCAGATTGTTTTAGTTCATTGAATGATGTAAGTACATTCAATGAGTGGGTTATCTTTGCAGATTTTTTGAATTCAGCCATTTTTTGCATTTTGCAGATTTTAACAAATGGCAAATCTTCAATAATAAGTGTAGATGACAGCAAGATGCTCACCTAACTAGATTCTGTGATATTTGTATATTAGGTTAAAATATGAAGTACTGGAGAATTTCAGTTTTACAATACAATAATATAGAGAAAGAGAGGTTGAAACAACATTCAAGGTTACAAAAAAGTCAAATCCTAGTTTGTCATAAGGATCTCTGGGTGCAGAGATTTTCAAACATTCATACACAGCAACCTAATTTTTCAACTTCGAGTATTTAGATTTAGAATAGACAACTTATAGACAACACACATTGCAATGTTCCTCTTATTAGAGACAAAGCTAACTTTTCAATAATGGACAAACTTGGCTTTCCTTTTTTCGCTCATAAGTTAAAAGAGGCCCATGTTTAGGTGAAGTACGTAGATCCATGAAATTCCAAGAGCTAGAGATACTAATTCGAACTAAGGCAGCATTACAAGCCCTTACTCATGAAAGAGACTTATCTCCGATCGGCCAACGGGCAACCATCTATATGTCAAATGCTATTGAAAATATTGGTGGTGCATTATACGCAGTTACCTAATAGTGAAGGAAATTCACATACAAGCTAAGTCACAAGCAACCACTGAAATGCCAAGAGCTACCGAAACTATTTGGAATTATGGTGTTGCATTATGTGTACTCAATCAGAAGTAAGCCCATCTCTGAGCTAAGTTATGAGCAACAAGGTGGGCCCTCCAGGGTGGGCAACTAGGCGATTACGCATTGCCAGAAGACCATTTGTGCAGTTAAATTTTCATGCCTAGCTAGAATGCTCGCCACTCGCTTGCCACTGCTCATTGTAATGTCACATACCAAGTGCCTTGAATTCTGGGAAATCATTTGGAACGGGCTATTTTCAGTCGAGCCTACAATGCCAGCGCATTCTATATTGTAATATTTCACATAGTATGTTAATCATTTAAGAAAGGAGTGTACACGAGCCAATTATGAGTGTGTGGCCCGCGAAACAGGTTTTTAATTTTGTTTAATCTAGTATGTGCGAGTAATTCCATTTTTTTGCGTTGCAAAGCCTAAATCTGAGTGCTATACTTGAGCTTGTGTAAAGGAAACACCGCATGTCATAAGATCAATAACCAAAATTTTGCGCCTGGAACTACTACAAGAAAGCCTACCGGTATGTTAAACAATGGTGCCCCCTCAGTTTCACTCATTTAGTGGAATCTGCCCCGCTTTTAATAAAGATTGCAAACCCCTGATTCAAGACTCTGCTCAGCAATAAATATTAATGTGCAGTAAAACAAACTTCCGCCCAGTGTAACATTTTCTTAGAGGGAACACTAATGTGCGACCCCTGAAATATCATAAGCTTGATTACTTGATAGCATCAGATTCTTTTTCCAAATCACACTATCAATACTTTGCTCGCCGACTGCTTTCATCTTTGCTTGTGATTGTTGAGACTTGACGTATTTAATGAAATTATAACATATTATATAATTATGGCTCGTAGCCAGTTTTCCCCCCACGAAAATATTACACTGTGCAATTGTTTGTTTTAGTGAGCATGAATATTTTGAGGCGGGGCAAAGTCCTGAATTATTTCTTAAGCTTGTGAAATATTACAACAACATTATACGGAAACAACATCTTCGAAACACATCTTTTATTTGTTCAATCATTAGATCGTTACCTAATGTTATGGGCAAAAATCGTACTCACGCTTTCATACAATTCATAGAACGTTCAAACAAACATGTTAAAAAATGTCAAATGAAAGTGAATCCATGTTATGGCCCAGTTAAATTGTAGCCCTCAACATCGCTAAAACTTTGTTAAAGCGGAATTTTCTGGCGAATGTATGCTCAAGTTTTGGAAGTCATTTCTCCTGATATAAAAATTATTTTTTTTAGCATATGTCTTTCTATCAACGCAATTATAAACCCTAACAAATCGTTTTGAACATCTGATTTCGAGGCAACCCCAATTACACGTATGTACAAAAATACACAACTAAACTTTGTTGGCATTTCGTTTTTTAAATATCAGGATGTTTTTGTATAACAAAACAAGGCATGGGTAGTCATTTATACGAGGCCGTATGCCGGATAAGCAAGTAACTTCATTAGTCGCCATCAGTTGCAAATTACCTGTTGAATGTCGTGCTTGTTATTCCTCGGTTATTTTGTCACCTTATTTTATTACAGACCAAACTGCGATGCTAGGTGTATATGAAATCAAGCTTGCAGCCTTTTTTCCTTCAAGCGCCCTGAACCCCAGTCATGTCGTACTTTGCCGCTGGTCTGCGAATATCCTTCTGCTTCCTTATTTGGCCTGTGGTCTGGTATTAAACCTTCTCTTCTCATTGCTAAATTTATAAAAACCTCATCCTTCGTGTGTCAATACAGCGACTACTCTTATCGACACAACGTCTGAACATAAAGAACCTCAAATTGCGAAATAGATTTATTTACTTTGTCAGCCTGGGACAAAGGTGAACATAATGGAAAAGTACTAGCGATGCTATTCCGACAACGCAGGGGTGTGTAGGGGGCTGTGGTCCGAATAAACAACACCTTTATAATTTGAAGGGTATTTATTCATCGCTACTTGATTGCGGAGCAGTGAACGATACATATTGTTGCGTAATTTAAATTTATTTACAATTACAGACTTCAATGGCGACTCGTAACACAAAGTGATTTGTTTTTTTCATATTACACCGGATTTACAAAATGTCCCCCAAACTATTTTAATAGTTTCAAGTTTAATCTGTCACGATTCTTGTATAAGTAATTTTCGTGACAAATCAGCTAAAAGTTTAATTTCGCTGTAATTAGGCTAAACTAGTCAAACCGGGTTAAAATATGTTCGTGATTGTTACTCAATTGTTTGTATTTCCACTGCTCCTTCGAGCATAACACAGGCGTATATTTTAACAATGCTCATAAGCTTAAAGACCTATTAGTCAGTGTTTATATATCGTCGTGTTTTTTCATCAATATTTTCACCGCTCCCGTTGTATGAGAACCAAAATGGCGAACACCTAAACATAGAATGTGTACCGGGCTAAGGCCATAATTTTAATTCCATTTTTACTTATTTTAGTTATATTACGAGTTCGGGGACTAGCCGAGTGACTCCCGTAGTGTTTGTACCAGAAATTATGGTACAACAAATTATGGTTAACCCTAACATGGTACACTTACTACTTTCCGGTGCCCGCAATTTTGGTTCACTTACCACGGGAGTACCCCTATATGCATATTATCGCAATAATAATAACCTTTACATTACAAATTGAATAATGCTGATGTGGGTTGAACCAGCATATCCAGGGTTAACACACCGACAACCAGTGCACCCATAAGAACTGTGAATATAAAATATTAGCTCAATTGTACGCGAGCATTTAACATATCTATGATAAACACCAACCTGCAGATCCAACTAAATGTAAACCCCCTCGCTCTCCCAGCCCAGGCATGGCCTATATCAGGGTGGTCCAAACCCAGGTGGCCCGCCACTTCATTATCTGTGGCCCGCGTCATATTCGGAAAGTATTATAAAAATGCATTTCGTGTTGTTTCGTCATAAAATTAATATTGTTAAATCACAACTGTCACTAAATATTAATGATATGGCCTAACAATATAAATCATGCCTGGTGTTTTTGTAACCACCCTAAACAGTGTTGATAATAACATGCATTATTCACCCTAAACAATTTTTCCAAAACTGACGCCTATGTCAGAAAATTTGATATTCGTAATTACCCTTCTGTACCTCAAATTTAATAATCAATCAATCTGCAGTTATTTGTAAGTTGTTTTGTAAACATGAGTTTGAAAAGAAAGCTGACCAATTCAAACAGATTTTTAACTGGATGTGGGGGAGAAAATTGCTTGATATGTCGGCAAGTTGTGTCGGTGACGAAAGACATTTAAACGACATTACGAGTACAATTGTCATTGCAGTGTTCATTAGGCAAAGCTATATAGAATTTTTTTATTAGAATCTGGACTTGCCTATACACTATACAGGTTTGTTTAGATAACAGCCTCAGTTCTCTCAACTGCTTATAACCATTCTTACAAGGCGCAAACCTACATCTGGCTTATCATAAATTGTCATCTTTTTAAATTTTTGAAGTCATTTATATGAAGTTTATTCTTAAAGTAAAAAAAAATCTTGGAAAAAATAGATCATGGAGCTTGTCAAGGTCAACGCAAGTCCGATAATTGTAAAAATATCAATGATGAAATATATATTGCCCCATATAAGAATAGCTCATGGATATTGCAGTTTATAAAATGCTCATAGAGTAATATATGTGATATACATTGTGGTATAAAAAGTAACCTATTTACCAAATATACATAGAGAACACTAACAGTAGATAAGCATAACTTTCATGTCACATACAAGAATCCAATCAGTTAAAACTATGATTAGAAAATAGTTAAACAACACTTTGTACCAAAAATTTTGTTATAGATGTCAAAAACCATATATACCGAAAAATCCAAAATAAAAAAGCTAGATAAAATGGCTGAGTGCGCAAAAAAAATTTCATTCTTAAAAATAAAAAAACATGATTGTCAGTGGCTGCACTGCCGAGATCTGGGATGGACAGACTACGGCCCGCGGGCCCAATTCAGCCAATTGGGGGATTAAATCTGGTCCGCCTGATGCTGCCATAAATTTCTACTTTTAACTAAATCATGCATGCACTACGTATACATGATGTTATTAAAATCTGTATAGTGCATCGAACTTGTTAGATTACGATCGTAGTCTGTGTACGATACATTTTGGGTTGCCGAAGACTTTCATCTCTTGGCTTTTCACATGCGGTCACGTGCAGCCAGTAGCTTCAATTTATCCCTTCCCTGCACTTTAATTGGTGGAGATTGATATCTAAATTATTAAAGACTAATTTTTGTTTGCATGAGTTTGTCAAATTGACAGATATTACACAAAGAGTAATGGCGTTAGCTGTTGATGCCAAATGCCCTTCATTAACCTTCTCATTTCAAATCTGTCGTGACAATTGTGACAGCCGAACTAAAATTTGGATG